GAACTGCTTAGTCAAGCTCTGTTTGAAACCTCTGGACTAAGGAACTGCTTAGTCGGGTTTACTATGTTATGATTTGTTAACTGTTTTTGCACTATGGAATAAATGCTAAATTGATGTGCTTGGGAGTATGTTTCCAAATAAAGTCCCCATCCGTAAACACTACTTGTTAACTTGGGCATGTCCCCGGGCCGTGGTATTGTGGATAGCCGCTATTGGTTATGTTATTAAACTAGTTTTATTTTGTAAAACTTGAAGGTGTTATTTATTAATTGTTGCTTTGACACGCTTGCCTGTTGCATCTCATGTTTCCGCTTTAGCGGGGTGTGACATCTGAAGAGGCCATTGCCTTCGTCTTTTTCTTCCTTTAAACCCTAATATTGTTTCATCTAACTTTAATCTGCAGATAGGCACAAAAAAAACGAGACTCGGGTGTAGTGTAAAAATGTATTGGAAACTGTAAAGGCACATATAATATAAATTATAAAAAGTAGATTTTTAAAAGTGACGGTTAAAATGACCTCCTAAAGTTTTAAAAAAATTTATAGTTTTTTCAAATCCAGTTATTGAAGAAATAAAATTTCTCCTTCTCCTCACTTTTCATCCATTTTCGACTTTTGAACTTCTCTGTTCCTTTGTTTGCGCAAACTAGAGATTCATGGACGGCTGCTTCATGTTACCTCCGATCAAACAAACGGAGCACAAAAGGAGTATAACAATGGAGGTTCCGGTGATGTCAGAGAAGTTTTCCGGCCAAGAAAACTCACCATGTCCAAGACTTATAAGGATATCAATAACTGATCCCTATGCAACTGATTCTTCAGGAGATGAAGATGACGAGCATTATGGACAGTGGCATGTGAAGAAGTATGTCAATGAAATTAACATAAAAAAGTCATCCAAAACTACAATGATGCCTGTCAATGGGAAGATGACGACGACCAGAAACAAGCCATCTGCTCTAGAAATGAAATATAATGCTATGAAGAAGAAGAGAACTCCGGCGGGTAACGTTAAGAAGTTCCGAGGAGTCCGGCAAAGACCTTGGGGTAGGTGGGCAGCGGAGATTATGGATCCAGCTACATGTGTCCGGTTATGGTTGGGGACATATGATACGGCGGAGGAGGCTGCCGAGGTGTATGATAATGCGGCCATTAAACTCCGTGGTCCTGATGCTGTTACAAATTTCATCGTGCCGCCAGTTTTGGAAAACCCATCGCTGGCGAATGTTACATCGATGTCCGACCATTATTCCAACCTAAAGTCGCAGAAGCTTCCACTTGCGGATGCACCACCTTTTGAGTACCAATCATTTGATCCGATACAATTTGGTGATGAAGTTCCATATTTTAACATGCATGATGATTTCGGGTCTATATACCCAAACCAATTTGATAATTTTGGTACAATACCATTTGTTGATGACTTCAATCCTGATACTGGACGTGGATCTCCCTCAACTTTACAAATAGAGAACTACTTTGAAGATATTTCAGATAGTAGTTTCTATTCATGGTTTTCCTAAAATGGGTTGAACTTGTTTTAGTTAGTTGTTGGAGTTGTTTAATTGATTACTATTGTATTAATTTGTTAGTATCGTCTTAATGCATACCTTTGATTAACATTTATTGGTTTGGCTGATTATTTTTATTTTGTTTTTCAAACAGTTGTATACGATGTTTTTTACAAAATATATATGGGTCATGAAAAGGTTTGACACGTATATTACACGAGGTATTTTAAAAGAGGGATATAAGCCGAGACTTTTCCAAGTAATAAAAGAAAACTTTGAACATTAACTCTAAAACACAAGAAATGAGAGTTCTGGTGTTAGCCTGGAAAATAAATATTGATTTAACTCTGAATGAACGTAATTCATAGTAGGCTTCTAATTCTAGGAAGTATGTAGAAGCATAACTCTGGAGCACAAGAATTCTGCTTTCTTATAACCTAGAGAAGTAATTCCGAAGAGGGGTTCAGTGTTGCATTAAAAATCTGGGAATAAACTACAGAAATAAATTTATCACAGAAGAACTCGGAGTTATGTTGTTAGTGTGAGAAATAACAAATATCTAATGCCTTTCATGTTGTTGATTTGTATCACTAATGCCAGTTAAGTGTAATGGGATTTATTCGTTGATCCATGTAAGCGTCAGAAATATCAAAGACAACGCTGAAACTTAATTGGGGAAAATGAGTTCATATTTGTTCTCAGACTTTTATGCCGGACTACCTTGTAAGTCTGACAGACAATTATGAATGTTGACAAGGGAACATAAGTTCAGACTTTTATGTCCAGACTTGGAAGTCTGGAAACGATGACTCCAGACTTAGTGATACATAGAACATACCAGAGTTGTTTTCTTCGTCTGGAACATTAGTTAAACCACAAAAAAAAGGAAAATAAACGTGTAGAGGGACACATGTCACTTAAATAGACCTATTTAAACCGTAAGTGGAAATAGTGTCTACATACATCTAAGACTCTGTGTGTGGGGTGACGCTCTGCATGAAACACTTAAACTTTTTTATGCCCTGCTCATTAACTCTGACTCGGCAATCTGGTACATAACTCTGCCACACTAACCTGGAAAAAAAACTGACAAGCAGTTTCTTAACTTACGTTGTATTTACACCTTTAATTTACGGTTTCCATAACCGCCTCATCTAGGTAAGCTTTTGCTTCTTATAAAATTATTGTCATCACAGACAACTTCTATCTGCTACTACAATAAAAATCGAGTTCTTTAACACAACTGACTAAGTGAGTCCATTTTCTCATGATTGTTCATTCTAATGTTTTATTATGTACTGACTTCATGGGTTAGTTAATTCATGTGGTAAGTGAAGACTTTTACGTCCAGATTTAAAAGTCTGGAAACGATGACTCCAGACTTAGTGATACATGGAACATACCAGAGTTGTTTTCTTCGTCTAGAACATTAATTAAACCACGAAAAAAAGAAAAATAAACATGTAGAGGGACAAATGTCACTTAAATAGACATATTTAAACCGTAAGTAAAAATAATGTCTACATACATCTAAGACTCTTTGTGTGAGGTGACGCTCTGCATGAAACACTTAAAATTTTTAGTGCCCTGCTCATTAACTCTGACTCGACAATCTGGTACATAACTCTGCCAGACTAAACTGGAAAAAACACTAACAAGCAGTTTCTTAATTTACGTTGTATTTACACCTTTAATTTATAACCGCCTCATCTGGATAAGCATTTGCTTCTTATAAAAATATTGTCATCACATACAACTTTCATCTCCTACTACGATAAAAATCAAGTTCTTTAACACAATTGACTAAGTAAGTCCATTTTCTCATGATTGTTCATTCTAATCTTTTATTATGTACTGACTTCATGCACTGGTTTCTTATTTAAGGATTACTTTTCTTGCTGATCTTTCAAAAATAAATTCCATGGATGCTAGAGAAAGAAGAAAATTTAGGAAGACAGTTTTGAATAGTAGTAAACAGTCATTGAAGTCTACATCATCAAATGTTGAAGGTATCTGATTCAACAACATTTTGAATTCGATTTTGAATGAGACAAACATTATCTGTTCAGAAATTCTATTGAAGGTACTTTTTCATAATTATATTTTCCTCTTCCTTTTCACAGATAATATCCCAAATTTTGATAGACGATTAAGATCTTCATCTCAGAGGAATAATATTCCCTACCATAGTGAGAATATGGATCCAAACACATGTCCACAATATGAACATACAAACATTAACATTCTTCTTCAAATGTGACTATCACAAATCCATTATCTGATAATTCTAATGGTATGTGTAATCTCTTATATACCTCATTTTAAAAATAATGATTCCAATACATTTTCTATGCTAACACATGTTTTACATTACTTAAATTTGTATATTTCAAACAACAAGTCTTCATGTAAACATACACTACTAGTTACGTTTTAACGCCAATTCATCAATGCCTTCATCGACAATAGAGCAAGCTTCTCCAATGGTTCGGTTATCAGCAGGGCATCATAGATTACAAAGGAGGATTGTAAATATATATGACATACCAATAATTGATATTACATCAGATGAAGAATTGGACCATCCAGTAACAGCTACAAACATAATTGCAGGAATATCTGAAGGTAATTATTGATTAATCAACTGTTTAACACTTACAGTTAGTTATTAGTTTCGAATTTATTAAACAGAGTACTTGGATCACAGTGATGAAAGTGTTATTTGTGAATGCTGTGATGCAAAACTATGGAGAGATGAAGCTCTTCAAGGGAAAAAATGCGGGATGAAAACAAGTTACTCCCTTTGTTGTCTTTATGGCAAAGTTAAGCTTCCAAAACAGAAAGAGATGGCTACTTCTTACGTAAATCTGTTTCGTTGTGAGGACTCGAAAAGCAAATACTTTATGAAGAACATTCGTCGTTATAATTCAATGTTCTTATTTACATCAATAGGTGGCAGAACTGATTCTTCCATTAATAGTGGAAATGCACCATACATGTACAGGCTTAATGGTCAAAACTACCATAGGATGGGCAGTCTTCTACCACCAGATGGAACAAAACCAAAATTCTCTCAACTGTACATATATGATATGGAAAATGAAGTTTCAAATAGACATAGTTCATTTAGGTATACATTCATCCTTATTGTAATATTTCTTAATAAATTTACTTGAATTCCATAGAATGGTTATATTAATGGTCAATCTGATTTTATATTTGTTATGCTTTACTTAGTGAACAAAAAGAAGCCGCTGCATTAAATTCTGATTCCCTTGATATTGAGATTATTCAATACTTAGAGAACATACTAGATGCAAAAAATGTTTCGGTGAAGTCTTATAGAATTGCAAGAGATTGTTTTGAATGCTACCCTGATGTCAAGCTAAAGTTACGGCTGATTGGAAGAAGAGAAAAGGATGGAAGAACATATAACCTTCCAACTACTTCAGAGGTTGCAACTTCAATTGTTGGAGATGATGGTGGTACAATTGAGAAAAGAGATATCATTGTACAACATCAGATAGGTTATTTACAACAAATAAGTGAATTACATCCTTCTTACCTTTCTCTTCAATATCCGTTGTTATTTCCATACGGAGAAGATGGTTACAGAGTTGACATTCCCCATAGAGAGGTAACATCTTCAAGCAAAAGTAAAATAGCAACTGTAACAATGAGGGAGTTCTCCGCCTTCAAACTTCAAGATAGGAGAAATATGTTTTCATTACTTCTCAATGCAAGGAGGCTTCTACATCAATTTATTGTTGATGGATACACAATGATTGAAAGTGAGAGATTGCATTACATACGTAAGCAGCAGAAAGTCCTAAGGTGCGAGACATATGATAATCTATGGAATGTACAAGAACAAGGAGAGTGGGATGTTTCAAACATTGGACAACATGTTATACTACCTTCTTCTTTCACCGGTGGTGCTCGGTACATGATGCAAATTTATTTGGATGCAATGTCCCTTTGTAAATGGTATAGATATCCTGACTTATTCCTAACCATGACGTGCAATCCTAAATGGCCAGAAATTAGAAGATTTTTTAAGGACACATGCCTAAATCGAGAAGACATGCCTGACATTCTTTGTCGTTTATTTAAGATCAAGCTTGATGCACTTATTAAAGAATTGAAAGAGACTAAGTTATTTGGCAAAATTCAAGCACGTATGTTCAATTTATGATAACAATATCAACGTATTTCTTCATACTTTAGTCTTATCTTTATTAATTTAAATTGTAACTTTTTTGTAGTTGTTTATACAATTGAATTTCAAAATCGTGGATTGCCTCACAGTCATATCTGTCTCTTTATGCACTGAGATTTCAAACTACCAACTGTTGAAAAAATTTATCCTATCATCTCAGCTGAGATCCCAGACAAAAACAACGATCCAGACTTGTACTTACTTGTAAAAGAGTTCATGATGCATAGACCGTGTGGTGAAGAAAACATTAATTGCCCATGCATGATTGATAGAAAGTGTTCAAAAAAGTACCCGAAGAAATTTTCTGAACACACTTCAATTGATGTTAATGGTTATCCTATATACTGCAGATGAGATGATGGACGTTTTATTGAGAAATCAGGTGTTAAACTAGACAACAAAAATGTCGTTCCATATAACAAACATCTGTTAAAAAGATATCAAGCACACATTAATGTTGAGTGGTGCAATCAGGCTTCTTCAATCAAGTATCTATTCAAATATATCAACAAGGGTTCAGGTAGAGCTACTGTTGCAATTGAAGAAAACACTAATGATGAGGTCACTGTTAATGTTGTTGATGAGATAAAGTAGTATTATGATTGTAGATACCTTTCTGCATGTGAAGCTTCATGGCGTATTTTTGGATATGATGTTCATTATAGGACTCCTTCCGTTTTAAGACTTCCTTTCCATCTTCTGAGACAACAACAAGTGGTGTTTGGTGCTGAAGATGATATTGAAAATGTCCTAAACAGACCATCTGTGGCATCCTCAATGTTCTTAGCTTGGATGCATAGTAATCAAATTTATCAAGAAGCACGAGAACTCACTTACGTTGAATTCCCTACAAAGTTTGTGTGGAAATTGGACAAACGACGTTGGGATCGAAGAAAAAAAGGGTTCTCAATTGGACGGATTCCTTTAGTTTCTCCTACTGTTGGAGAATGATATTACTTAAGAATTATTCTGAATAAAGTGAAAGGTCCTAAATCATTCGAAGACATTCGTACAGTTAATGGAAAAACATTTCTTACTTTTAGAGATGTATGTTATGCTCTTGGGCTTTTAGACGATGACAAGGAATATATTGAAGCCATTGAAGAGGCAAATTTAACTGCATCTGGTTTTTATCTCCGCTTCTTATTTGCAACCATGCTGATTTCAAACAGTCTATCTAGACCTGAATTTGTTTGGGAAAAATATGGCAATACTTAGCAGATGGAATTCTTTACAATCAACGAATTACTTTACAGTCGCTAGGTATGTTAATTCTATATCTTAAGCATGATTTATACAACTATTATCAACCATTATGGTTGTCATTAAATTGTATCTAATTTTAATTTCATGTATTAATTGTTTACATTTATATTATCTTCTTATAGATTTATCTCTCAATGAAGAACAAGTGAAGAATCTAACTTTGTTCAAAATTGAAAAGATTTTGCTGCGTAACAATTCCACATTGAAAAACTTCACTACTCTGCCTTATTCTGATAATGATTCGCTTGAATCTTCAAACAACTGTTTGATTGCAGAAGAGCTGGATTATAACCATCATAATTTACGTGATGAGTTTTAGACACTTGTAACTACTCTAACAAATGAGCAAAGAGGTGTGTATAACGAAATCATGACTACGTTTGAAAAGAAAAAAAGGTGGTGTGTTTTTTGTTTATGGGCATGGCGGAACAGGTAAAACATTCCTATGGAAGACCTTGGTTGCATCAATAAGATCTAAAGGAGAAATTGTTTAAATGTCGCTTCTAGTGGTATTGCATCTTTACTTCTTATCGGTGGCAGAACAACACACTCTCGGTTTCAAATCCTGCTCATTATCAATGAAGATTCTCTTTGCCACATATATACAGACAATGATGTTGCGAGCTTAATAAAGAAAACTACTTTGATAATATGGGATGAGGCACCAATGGTTCATAAGCATGCATTTGAAGCATTAGATAGAAGTATGAACGATATTTTCAATACTCGACGCAGTGGTGACTCACATATTCTTTTTGGGGGTAAGGTAATTATTTTTGGAGGAGATTTCAGACAGATTCTGCCGGTTATTCCCAACGCAGGTAGACAAGACATCGTAAATGCATCATTAAGTTCATCTTACATTTGGGAAAAATGCAAAGTCCTAAGGTTAACTAGGAACATGAGGCTAACTGCAAACAGTGAGAGTTCAAAAATTGAACAAACAAGGGATTTTGCAAAATGGATTTTGGACTTAGGAGAAGGAAAAGATGGAAGTGATAATGATGGTGAAACAGTTATTGAGATACCTCATGATCTTCTCATTACCGATTCTGTCGATCCTATATCTGCATTAATCGAATTTATCTATCCCTCAATTCTTGAAAACATCAACAACTCAGCTTATTTTCAAGAACGAGCAATACTTGCACCAAAAAAATGAAGTCGTTCAAGAAATAAATGATTGTTTGCTGTCATTGTTTCCAGAAGAAGAAAAGGAGTACTTAAGTTCAGATACGCTATGTGAATCAGAGCACCTTCATGATGAGTTTGATAAAACTTTGTACTCTCCTGATGTTTTAAACGGTCTTAAATTATCAGGGATACCAAACCATAAGATTTTACTAAAAGTTGGTGTTCTTATCATGGTACTCAGGAATATTGATCAGAAATCTGGATTATGTAATGGAACTAGACTGCAGGTGTTAACATTGGGAAATCGAGGGATAGAAGCACAGGTTATATCTGGAAGCAATATTGGAAGTCGTACATTCATTCCAAGAATGTCTTTAACACCTACAGACAAAAGGATACCATTCAAATTTCAAAGGAGACAGTTTCCAATTGCTGTATGTTTTGCCATGACCATTAATAAGAGCCAAGGACAATCATTATCAAAAGTTGGTTTATTTCTAAGACAACTGGTCTTCACGCATGGTCAGTTACATGTTGCTTTATCCAGAGTCAAAAGCAAGCAAGGTTTGAAAGTACTAATTATGGATAATGATGGTATTATTGACAGTAAAACAACGAATGTTGTATACAAAGAAGTGTTTAGTAATATATGATACATGATTCTTATTTTATTAATGTTTTACCTATTTACCTTAAATTTGTTCCATTTATATTATGTTATAAATTTTGTTTTATAACTTCATCATATTAACTCATATTATTATTAATTCTTAAGAGCCTCATTTTTTGTTTATGTTCTGCATTATAATTATCCGATCATAGAGGATTTGCATGTAGTACGTAGATTCTCTCACATTGACTCCGTACTTCATACAAAGCTTTAGAGAGGGACTGAATGTACTACGCAGAGCCTCTGACCCTACCTCCGTGTTTCATACAGAGATTTAGAGAGGTACTACAGAAAATATGCAGTGCCTCTATGCCTGATTCCGTGCTTCTTGCAGAGCTACACAGCAGCTCTGCATCTACAACGCAGAGCCTCTGTCTACGGAAGATTTATACAAACTTGTAGCTTTGACTAATTTTAGAAATTAACTCTTGAAAAGCACTTCAGACTTGTAGCCAGATTGTTCGTCTTCATTTAGAAGTCTTTATGATTATCAAAATACAGGACGGCCGTTGTATATGCCAACCTTAACTCATTAGTAACAACTCTGTCTCTGCATGTACTAGGCAGAGCCTCTCAGCATGACTCCGTGCTTCATATAAAGCTTCACGGAGGTTCTGCATAGCATCTGATCCTGATTCCTTGCATCATGCAGATCGACACAGAGTCACTGCAGCTACATCGTAGAACCTATGTTTACGGAAGGATCATTCAGACGTGTGATTCTGAATAACCTTGACTTCAACTCTAGAGAAGGACTTCAGGCTTGACTTTTTCAAGAAAATAGTTATTTACGAGGCGGGATGCAAAACATGTCAAACCACGTGCTTCCTCCCCACAGGATTAGGAATAACCGTTAAAGTTGTCAATCCTTCGAGCCGATTTCCACTCGAGTGCCTATTAGGAAATTTATATTTAAATTACCCTTTATCTCCAAAATTAAATTTATTATATTAATAATTTACTTATTTACCTTTCATTTGTTTCATTTATATTATGTTATAAATTTTGTTTAACAGGTTCATCATATTTATTGATATTATTATAATTCTTTAGAGGGTCATTTCTCATTTATGTTCTGCATTATAATTATCCGGCCATAGACGCTCTGCACGTACTATGTAGCTCCTCTAAGTCTCGCTTCGTACTTCACTCAGAGCATCAGAGAGGCTCTGTATGTATTACCCAGAGCCTCTGAGCCTCACTACGTATTTCATACAGAGCTTTACAAAGGAATTGCAAGTACTACGCAACGCCTCTATGCCTGATTCCGTGCCTGATGCAGAGCTACAACGCAGAGCATCTTTCTACCAAACAATTTAATCAGACTTGTACCTTTGTCTAAGCTTAGAAATTACCTCCGATTATTAATTCTTTATAAAATACATATCAGTTTCGCTTAGTTTTTGTAATTAACCCGTGTAATACACGGGTTCAAACATAGTATATATATATATATATATATATATATAGAGAGAGAGAGAGAGAGAGGTGAGTTATTATACAACCCTTACATTTGTACAACCAATACGACTAAATCTCAACCGTCCATTTAATTTGATGAATATGTAATTTCATAAATTTTTTGATTGTTTTTTAATATAAAATATTAATCATAATAAATGAACCGTATTCATCCTCCATAAATCATAATAAATAAACTCTCATCATTTCCATAAATGGTTGCATTTGGAACAAACTCTATATCTATACTATATTATAAACCGTATTCATCCTCTATAAATATCTAAATCATAATAAATGAACTCTCATCATTTCCATAAATGGTTGCATTTGGAACAAACTCTATATCTATACTATATTATAAAGTATTTGACAAAAACTCTTAAAAATATTTTTATGCATAAAATACTGTTTATTAATGCATATTACTTAAAATTCAAGATTACAAGTAAATTGTGCATAAGTACAACTTATTAAAGCTCTATGTTTGAATT